AACTTCACAGGAGGACTCCCAGTTTTTTTTAATAGAGACTGAAGGTAATAGAAAATCTTGAAAGTCAGATTGTGTTGTGCTTCCCCCAACAACTTATGCTCCTGCAAATTAGAGAGGTGTTTGCCTGAGCCTGTTTGTAAAATTATTTTCTTTTGTATATTACTTCAAATATTTCAAATTAAGAAAGGTATGCAATTCAAACAAAGAGTATGGCAGCCTTTCATAGATTTTTGCATCTACTTTTACAGCTCTTTGAAGTGTCAATTTAGGGAGTTTATATTTCTTTTCCCATATATATGGAGTCACCCACTCTTTCTATCCCCTTTTTTCTAGACTGCCTCTTATGTTTTCTCCAGCTTTGTCCTAATGAAAACTTTTGTGCAAGACAATTTACAGAAGCACATGGCATTTAAAAGATTTAAAATTTCTTCCGTCAGAAATAAAACACACTGGACATGTTTGGATGCTGTCTGGCCTGCATGAATGAAGTTTGCTCCCTTGGAGTCTCTGGCCTATTGATGCTCCCAGATCCTAATTCCTTGGGAGCCACAGGAAATCGGTCATAAATGTTTAGGATGTAGAGAAGTATTCATCTCTATTGATAGCCAAACCCCTACAAAAGTGCAGGAATGTGTTGATCGGCTTTGAATCTGCAAACTAACACCCTCCAAATATTCTGCTCCGAAGTAATCAAGGTTGAATTCTTACTCTGGAAATTGGGGAGACTGATCTAGCAAGATTCGCTCCCCAATAATATAGATAAGGAATTAATGTTGCATGTTCCATTATTCTATTAACATAATCAAGCCAGCATTATTCTATTAACATAATCAAGCCAGCAAGCTGGCAATAACCAAAGGACCATACATAAATAAGTGAATGATGAACTTTTAAGGCCCAGAACCTAGTTAATTTTGAAAAGCTGGTCAAGTTTCCATCTTCACGTTTCTGTCTCTTGCAAAACTAAGCGTTCATGAGTTGTCCTGCACCCCCTAAGACAAATAACTGGCTGGAGCAATCTTTGTAGATCCTTAAAGGATGTGCAGTTTGTATGCATATTCCACCCCCCCTTCTTTCCCCCAGTGTAGTTCTCGCTTTTTGAATGGGGAGCTTCTTGCTCTCTTTCTGTGGTGATGAGTGACTCATCGGGAGGCCCGAAGGAATAAGTTAGGGATAATCATCATGGAGAAAATCTATCAATGTGAGCCCTGAAGTCAAATACAACTTCAACACACATATTCAACTAAAAGAATCTTGCAACCGCCTTAGGCAGAGATGGATNAATTCCCACCTTATGAGACACCAGAGGACTCACACAGGAGAGAAACCCTTTGAATGTTCTGATTGTGGGAAATGTTACAGTCAGAATTCCTACCTAATGATACATCAGAGGACTCACACCGTGGAGAAATCTTTGAATTGTCCAATCTGTGGTCATTACTTCAAGCATAAATCATCCCTTATTGCACACAAGGTAATCCATATGAGGAAAAGTAGATGATTTAGAGAACGCTTGAATTTCATTTGTGATCTCTCATTGAAAGTGTAGGTGAGAAATTGATTGTTTGAATTTTGGCCTGATTCATTTTGCTCAAACATTTCTCAGGATTAAATCTGTAGATGGAGAGAAAATGAAAATGAAAAATGGCCTCACTTCCAACCCACCATGGCTCACATCCTCCTCCTCCTCACATTTTGAACAACTCTGATCCTCATGTCGGGGAAGGACAGGAGGCAGGGGTGAAATTCAGCAAGTTCTGACAGATTCTGGAGAACCGGTAGCAGATATTTTGAGTAGTTCAGAGAACCGGCTAATACCACCTTTGGCTGGCTGCAGATTGGGGAGGAAATGGAGATTTTACAGTATCCTTCCCTCAGGAATGGGAAGGGAATGGAGATTTTGCAGTATCCTTCCCCTGCCACGCCCACAGAATCGGTAGTAACAAAATTGAATTTCACTACTGATGGGGGGACATACATCCCTGGAGCTCATGACTGTGTCCTGGAAGTAGCCACCATTTTCAGTGGGTCCTGCATTCATCCCTGGACCATGCAGTGGACTTGTGGAAGCGGCAACCATTTTGCCACACTGTTGGGCAGAAGAAGGACAAACCTCTCTGTTTTCCTACCTTAACATGAGGGGGGAAATGTACAGTTAAAAATGTTTCATTTTTAAAAATGTAGCATGTTAGAATTATCCGTGGCTTTTGACAAGGGAAAAATGGGTATTGTCAGTGTTGCTATAAACATTTGAGCAAGCAAGACACTTAGAGTTGCCTCAAACTGCAAGATAGACAGTGATTAAGTTCAATAATAAATGAATTTAATAATAAAAAGGTAATATGAAGCTCATTTCCTAACTCTTGCTCAGTGAGGAGGAGAAATCCACGTACAGTGGATTTTTAAAGCACTACAATTGTTAACTTGTAACCTGTCTCTTCTGAATTTTGCATCTCTAGGACCAATCTGTCTCCCTCAATGTCCATGTTGATTCACGTAATGACTAGAAGGGAAGTGAGGTCAAAAGCCTATTGCAATAAAGTTATTTGCCAGACTTGTGAATCATAGTTGTGGTCACTAAGCGAGGACTACCCACATTCATTCATCTCCACTCTCTGTGCTTTTCCTTCCTGCAGCTGATGGGGAGGAGACCAATGGGCAGTAGGGGGGGGGTCTCTCTGGATGGCTTTCCTATTAGAAAGGTGTGCTGTTGCTGGACGAGGAGTGGGGACACCCAGGTTCCAGTCCCTCCTCAGCCATGAACGGTCCTTCAGGCTCAGCCCCACTTGATAGACCAGTACAAAGAAATCAACTTCACAGGAGGACTCCCAGCTTTTTTTTAATAGAGACTGAAGGTAATAGAAAATCTTGAAAGTCAGAGTGTGTTGTGCCTCCCCCAACAACTTATGCTCCTGCAAATTAGAGAGGTATTTGCCTGAGCCTGTTTGTAAAATTATTTTCTTTTGTATATTACTTCAAATATTTCAAATTAAGAAAGGTATGCAATCAAAACAAACAGTATGGCAGCCTTTCATAGATTTTTGCATCTACTTTTACAACCCTTTGAAGTGTCAATTTAGG